TGTGCTGTTCAGTTTGATCCTCAACCTTGCATCAATAGTTGCGTGACCACGGTGGTTATGATCTTGGTATGAAATTAATCTAATTTTGGATGAGGCTAACGTACGTTTCATTGAAACAGTGACTGTAAACAGGTTAATGGACAAAACAAGTAGCGGAATTCGGGAAACATATTCGAGTGATATCTCTGAGAACCTTGAAATATAGAAATAAAAGAGATCGTTTCCACAGGGGTTGAGGGATTATTTCATTCGGTGCCAGTTTGCATAATTTAGAGCGGACGACGTCAGGCTCAAATGGCTGCGCGAAAAAGCAACGTGTCAGATACTCAAACAATTATGTAGGTATCTATTTGCTGTGACGTTTTGTGCAAGTTAAGTATGTATGACACGTGCACGAAACGCTGACCATCAAACAAACAACTTTGTTACTTGTCTCCTCCTGGTCACCAGGATGTTGCGAAAACAGGGCAAATGTTGACAGGCCGGAGACCCGGTGGAGTGTTTGTATTATTTTGTTGACAAATCAGAGTTCACAATCAACACCAAATATGTAGACTAGAAAAAGTGTGTAAATTCATGCAATATCTATCCCATGAGGCTTACCTGTCTGAAATCTCGTAGAGGTAATAGAAAGGAATTATAGTTGTCATTAAACTTATAACTCATAATAAGAATCCTGGCGGTTTGGGGCACAGGCTTCTGCATCTGTTTTCCCAAGCAAGGGATATTTGAACAAAGTTTAGATAAGGAAGCACTCAACCAGCACATTTTTTGCATCAGCGTGTTTATTGAAATGAAGGAAGTTCCACAAAATGCTATAGCTGAGAAGCTACTTGCGTCTTTCGTTGATATCAATGAGCGCATATTTTCTTTTACGTTGGAATAATAGCCGACTCTTGAACACCGCAAATTTATCTGGTTACGTAATTCGAACGAAGGAAACGGTAATACAAAGTTACAGTAGTTGATTGCTTTTATTCTTAACCCTGAGCTCTCCCTAGATGGTTGCAGTTCCACTGGAATTTGTTTGGAAGCGGAACTGATATTTCTACTAACAGCCGATGGCCTGTCATGATGGCAATCAAAGTTCCGGAGACGTTGACTTCTTTGAGTGTTTTCTTCCAAATTGGATTTAAAAATCGAATGAACAATAATAACTTTCTCTTTGTCCACAAAACCTCAAAACTAAGCAGTATTTGCCACCATTGTCGGAAAATATTTTATCGTTGCAGCGGTCTTCGGTATGAAAGATGAGTTAGATGAGACCGAAACCCATATGACAGTCATGGAATAAAGACCCAGTATTTCGTCAAGGTGCAAGAAGCTTCTCACATGTCTCACGTGTCATGCGAAACGTAAAAGCTTTTTATAAAGCCGATGATGAAGCTTAAAAAAGCGTCGGTTTATAAATGCAAGCAATTTAGATAGCCGGTTTCTCAAAAGCTAGCCTCCCTTTGGTGACGCTGGTAATGTGATTAAGTGTGGGATGGTTAAGATTGTCGAGGACAGTAAAGCTGTCGATCCTATTTAGTCATACGTTATCGGTATCGGGAACCAAAAGTTGAGTGAAGCCAAGAGTGTATGGAGAGCTCTCCAAAAGTTTCCTACACAAAGCGCTGTCCTCGGGGATGCCCCGTCTCTCCATTCCTCTTTGGCATCATGATCGATGAAATAATGGGACGAACGCTGGAGGGCCTTCAACACCCTAGTGTTCAAGTTGCCTGTGAGGAAAATCTTGTCGATCTGGAATATGCAGACGACATCGTTCCCATGTTCGAAGAGGAGGAGAAGACTCAAGTGTTTTGGAGGAACTGCTCGAACTCCTTTAGTATGCACTTTGCACCCACAAAGTGTAAGGTCATGCTCGTGGACAAGCAGTCGCTGAACGCACCACTTACGATCCAAGGAGAGTTACTGGACGTTGTAGAGCGTTTTACGTATCTTGGAAGTGTTATTAGTTGTGATTGTAGCGTGACACAAATCTGCAAGACTCCGGCCGCGTTTGCTAACTTGAGACACTTCTAGCGTCAGAATGGTTTACTCGTGAATCTGAAGGGACGTGTGTATCAAGGTACAGTACGGGCTGTTCTGTTGTATCGCTGCGAGACTTGGCCTATTCGAGCAGCGGAACTGAGACGTCCTCGTGTGTTTTATAATCGTTGTCTCAGAACTATAGCTCGTGTGGGTTGGTGTCGGGGAATCCGTAACGAGGCAGTTAGAAAGCGCATTTTTGGTTATGCGATGGGTACTTCCATTGGAGAATGTTTCCAGCACCAGAAGCTGCGTTGGTTTGTGTTGCGTATGCTGACCATCGTTTGTCGAAGAGAGTGCTGTTTTCTGTGCCCAACTCAGATTGGCGTAAACAGAGAGGTGGCCAACCGTTGACTTGGTACAGGAGTATGAAGCAGATCACGAAACACTTGGGTGCTGTCGGTGCTACTCCTCTCCCAGGATGGGACCGCGTGATCCTCACTGTGCCTGGTTGGAGGTATTACAAGATATGGCTGCCAACCGATGGCAGTAGCGTTCTTGTTGTCAGTTTTTATCTAGGTTGCCTGAGTGAATGTTTGGAGGTGTAGGCACCTCGGAATGATTGTGGTAAGGTAGCACTAAGTCCCTACACTGTGCAGTTTAAATCTTTTCTTTACAATAAGGCTTTCAAATAATTCATGGCTGTACTGCAGTGAAGCGTCGGTGTCGGACACCAATGTCATGCTGTCAATGATGACAACGATGATATTTACGGGCCCAACAGTTACCTTATGTAGCCGAGGCGGGCAAGATCGCATTAAGCTGTGAGTAGGAAGGCCGGCGTTGGTTGTTAGATTCGTCTATATAATGGAGTTAAGGTCTCGTATTCATCGACCTGGTGTTTACTATGAGTAGAAAAGTTTGGCGATAAGGCGTAAAGTTACCAGTATGAAGGGCTGTCTTTGGTCATTAACCTGGGGTGCCACGCATAGCTGTCGCACATAAAACGTCCAATGACCTACGGTGAGTAGATATGGCAGACGAGGGCATATGCTGTTAGCATGGTGGCCGGCGTAGATTGGACTTATTTTTCATCAATGTTGTTGAGTTTGATGACGTGTTCTAACTATCCAATGAGGGACGTGTTGTTAATTGACGTGAAGTTATTTCGTAACTCTGTACTATCTACTATTTGTGCGTATCATTGAATGAAGATCACTTGTAGAGGTGCGTACCATAATCAGTACTGCAGTGCGTCAAATTCTCTTTCATCACTATGACAGAAGGGAGGCGGGCTTCATTAGTTCATCTAATTCGTTATGTTTGAGGGTTTTCACGAATGCACGTAGCGATTTTCTGGACAGATTTTGCAATGGGTGTTCTGTGGGTGTTAGTTCGCTTTTAAAAAATAACCCGAAATGCTAAAGGTTTGATTTTATGTTTTATCTCGTGAACTGCCTATAAAATCGATGTCTGAATCAATCTACTACCTTGAATTTTCGTTCGCTTAAGCAAAACGCAACGGGTTACATATCCTTGAAATGTGCAGACGATTTAGACTGACTGTCCGTAGAAGGCATTGCTACAAAAACACATATTTTGGCCTAAATTATTCGCGTGTGCTTGCAGTGAGTGGCCACACACTGAAGGAGGTAGTTCAATTGGTCAAAATTTTCGCCAAATTTGGTTCGACATATCCGGGGTCAAAATTTATGAGGGGTTTTGGATGAGTATCGAATCCACAGTGTATACGCAGAGAACAGTAGTTCCAGGCAGGAGACGGGTTGGATAGAAAGAGAGAGATATACCAGCTAACAAAAATAAGCATTGATAAACTAACGTACTCACCCACAGGCACCAGCTGCAGATAGAGGTATAAACAGTACGACTGACTCTGACCGCGGTCGTCCTAGCAGTCTCTCATGTCCTCTATTGGGATCGAAACCCAAGTATTTCTGGCCCCTTCTAGTATGCATATCTTGCTGAACAATCGCAATTCTCAAGCCCTTCCTTCCAGATGCACTCAGCCGATTCGGGAGTGAGGCCTGTTGCGATTCCCTTCGGTCGGGTGTGTGCTGTTCTCTGGTTAGTAACTCCATGCTACCCGCTTGTATGTTTCTCCTGAAGCAGTGGGACGTTTACTCTCAGCGACGCCAAAGTTCGCCAGCCATCAACTAATTCTATCACTACTGCTGGGTACATCGTACAAGCCTCGTCACGTTCATTCAAGCCATCATCAGGCATGGACGGCTGAGACATCGCTGTAACGGCAGTCAGCGTTGCTTCAACCTTTGGCGTGTGTTGTAGTGAGGAAATACCCCGCGACACGGGGGGTAATGAAATCTGAGTTTTGCCAATTCCTAATTGCGTGGAACTAAGCGAGAAGCGTTTTGGGTGAAGACAACAACCACTTCCGCGTTTCTCGCTATAGCCAGAGGCTTCATCGACACAGGGTCTTTGGTGTCCACATAGCAACACATTGAATCCATTCAGATAAGCGCAATCTATGACATACTTTAAAAATTTGGATTGCGGCATTGAACATTGTTCCAGGGTCCAGACAAGAGTTGGTTGTGTCCATGCTTTGGGACCACGACAGCCAGTCGCCATGGTCTCGCTTCTGGCACGAGTATCAGCCGAAAAATGTATCCTTCTACAGGAGATACGCTACCAGTGTTGCGATCGTCCGCCACGTGACAGGTATTTTTGTACACTCCGGCCAGCTGTGGACATGTCATTGCGATCACTTGTTAACAAGTTCACACACTTAGGAACAAGAATGTATGCGTCACGATGAGATACGTGGTAATACATCACACTGCTTATCTCAACCTGCCCATTTTCATCTTCAGTGGATCCATTTGTATAGACGATTTCCCATTTCTAAAGTGACCGGGCGTTTGAGCCTACCAAGGAAAGCCGGGAGCCACCGCTATCAGGAATTTCGTCCGAGGTTCCTGTCAGTTTTGTAATGTCGTAGTGGACTTGTTTTGAAAGATATGTGAGCTTTCTTCCCGCCACTTCCAAATATGATGCTCGGTACTAAAACTCAGCAGAGGAGTCTCAATCATATGGGCAACACCGTGGATAAAGTACGCTGGGCTGCCGAGCGTCAACACAGCTTAATATCATTCATAAGGCTTTGGCTTCTCAGCATTAGTGTCGTCGTCATATTTAAAAACTCGATATCAGTGCTTATATCTAATATCTACCATTCTAGGAGCATGGTGAGACGATTTCCATATATAATAACAACAGGAATGTTCTTCATGTCGATCAGTAGCCATATCCTGCGGTAGGGTCGGTCATACACAAAGGAAGTGTGCGGACCTCTTTCAAGGATGTCAGCTTTATTTGCGGCATTCTGGGAATCCATGGTGTTGGTTGCTCCGACAAACTAATGCAAAATAGAGCCAGATTGTTAGATGTACCACAGAGCTCTCTTCAGTTTGGATGTGCTGAATGCAATGGACTTCATTCGGGTTGGTTGGATGGTTCTGGCTGATGGCCAGCCACATTGTACTTCATGTTTTGCCATATCTTGCGCTTGGCGCATAGGTGCACAGTTGTTTGAGTGAAAGTCGACCACGACTATTTTAAAAGCTGACTGGTATAGCTTGTTCTAAACGCCACACGCCTTTGTGTGCAGCGGAAACGTTCAGTTGCGCCGTTGCTATCCTAGTCTCGGCGGATCACTCCGTGAGTTGTGACCAGAGGTAAAGTCTGTCTTGCTATTTGCGGTGGAATTATTGTTGTTGCCGATTTCTACCAACCAGTATTTTAACTCCACTGAAATATAACAATAATTAGTCTGTATGCGTGTTGGTGGTTGTGCCCCACTTGATGTGTCCGCAACAAAAAGCCCTCACCGGGGTTGTGATTGTGGGCACGTGCCCCCACCCTGGCTGCTGGGTACGGGCGAAGGCTGTGTCCTGGTCGCCTGGAAGACTATTACGTGCAGCCTCTTCCAAGTGTTCTCTTTCGACGGGTTTTACGTCCATCGCTTATTGGTGCGTAGATTGAAGGTGTGGGAGCAATTCAGTATACTGTTTGTTAGCGGGAGGTTTCAATCTAAGGCTAAATACATGCAAAGCTTTCGGCAGTCTAGTACAGAGAAGTGAAATGATGCAAAGGGTCATCCCGTGTTGACGCAAAAATGTAGGTTGTTCAGATTGCGGTAGAACGCCCCACAAGCTTTAGTAGCCGACAGTTATTCTAGAGCACGTTCGCTGAGCAGGTGAAATGCAGGTTTTTGGTGTCAGTGAGACAACTAAGCTACCCAATCAGTGTTGCTAAAGATCATCAAGTTTCCTTTTTATTCCTTGGATTCTGGGGAACATCCCAGGCGTTCGCCTGGGAATGTATGCTCTTTATTTCCGTCTGGTCACCACAGCCACGGTGATTACTATTTCACTCCATATGTACAGCACCCAGGGATAACACAGCTATGTTCATTTGACGCGCAGACAGCGCATCGGTTCGTCTAAAATTTTTTGTACCGCGCCTCATTGCACCCTTGGCTTGTTCATTCCAGGAGAGAGCTCAACTTACAGCCTGCATTCAGATTTATCGGGACAAAACCATCTAAGCAATAAATTGATCAACGGTGACGACGATGAGGGGCTTGCAATATTTGGTTTTCGAGCACTGGAGGGGCTACCCCTGCAAGCCAACCTCGATCAAGACCAAATCGCGTATTTTGAATCGCGGCCGATGTAACATGTTACTCACGCAGCCTATGCTGTTGCGTTGTGTTGTACAGACGTAATAACCTCTCGGGTGTGCAACTAACGAAGCGAGAGTAAACAGCCCGCTGGCTCCAATCGGCCTGGTGGATGCTGAACAGCAGTGGACTATGCAGCATAGCATATTTGATTTCGTGTTTAAACTTTTAATAAAGCGCGTTGGCAGAGAATTCATTTCAGGTTCATCATTAGCAAACTTCCGATGAATGTACCCAATGTTCTAATTGACAAGGGGCCAGATAGAACAAAAAGTAAATTGCCCAATTAGGTTTTTTAGATGTTGGATTAAAGCAATCCTACTTTCGAGGAAAAGTCCGCTGATTTATGAACAAAACAGTGAGAATTTGGTTTGACCCTACTTTGCCAATATTGTAGTATTTGTAACTTATATAGTTTTCCACATTTAACCACAATCAATGTGCATGAGCAGGAAGTTCGACGGTTTGTAAGTAAGCGATTTGAGTGGAGAAACGTTCCATCCTGTGGCGAATATTTGAGGCAAACTTTGGCAAATTTAGCCTGTCCACAAACCTGACGCAATATTTTTGCCCGAGGCGTGCTTTTTAACAACAAACGTAAATAACTGTGCACCGGAACAATGTCCGCAAGATTTCCCCAACATTTTGCTTTTCCATTTCTGTAAAGGGACAAATTACAATTGGTTTGATGGTACTTCATCAGATCTAGGATGACTGCATATTTCATTGTTTTTTGAAAAACGCGAATTGGTTTTTGCTAGGTATGGACGGAATGACGCGTCCCAGTTTGTGGTGAGGCTGCCAAACACTGGCTTACTGGATATGCCAGGCGGGCAGTCTGAATTGCGTGCTCCGGCGAGCGGAAGTTCAGTCGTTGAGGTTTTCTCTGAGTATTTCTTTGCATTTATGTATAACCTGTCCTGAAGGCTTTGCGTCTTAGAACTTATCAGTTTCATTTCTGTCACTTCTATCCCTTTTGAATCGTTCAGGATTATATGTGGAAAATCAGTGGTTCAGATGGACAGATTAATTTACATGCCTGCTGAGGAAAGTTGCACTGCCGCATTTTGGCGATTCAAATAGTATAAATAAATGTATTCTAACACAACTCGTCCATGTTAGAGATAGCCAGACACAGAGTAATCGGCTACCTGATCAAGACGAAAACACTCCGTAGCCAACCATGCTATGTCCTTAAATCCTTACAAGAAACATCCTTTTGCACGACTGTCATCCTCAAGGTCCTGGGTCTTTATTTTAGTAAAGCCAGCAAGGTGTTAGTTAATTTTGAACAGCGAAAACTTTGCAGAGAATTCAAGTCATTCTTTCCTGCGATGGATCCTAAGAAAGGCAAATCGATTCTCAAGTATGGATGAAGCGCCAGTGTCGGCAAAAAATGATTTCTCTACGA